TCGTTTGTACTAATATTGTGTGTTATTGTAGGTGTGCGCGAATGTCATTTCGAGGTTTTTACATACGTTAAAAAAAGAGCAGCAGAGCTGTATTGTGTATATACCTGTACAGTTGCAGGGTCACTTCAAAACGCGCCTCTCGTAGGTATACATAAAGTTAAGTGGGCACATTAGAGGGGAAAAGGACGGGTATGCTCGTAAACGCCTCGGAGGCGCTTGTATTTTGATGTCGTTGTCGGTGAAGAATTTTCACGAGTCGAGCCAAGAGATTTCGGGAAAGAGGCCTAGGGGGTAACCCAAAACGCGCGCCCGATAAGCGATCTCGTAGTTTGCGTGTTTTTTTTCTTCCTCGTATACGTATACGGTCGGGGGGGGGGGGCATCAACCCAACACCTACGCTCTCGGGCGAGAGACTCGAATCTAGATTTCGGAGGGGACCGACTCGTATAACCCGCTGTCACCCGATGGAAGGCACTTCCGGTGCCCAGGTATATTACAGGAAAGAAGAAGGAGGAGGGAAAGAGTGTTGTAGGAGCGCGTCGGCGTGGCGCCCGACTGTGGCCTGGCGCCCGCATGCATAAGAAAAATCGAGCCAGTCAGCAGCACCCAAGACACACGCCATTACCACCCAGGAGAAAAAAGAAGGCCAACACAAAAACCTTAAGCGGCTCTTATACGGACTGACTAGGAGACCTGGGCCCGTCGTCGAATAAACCATTACTAATTTTTCCTCTCACCTCTTCCATCCACATGAGCTTTTGTATTTTATACATGTATAGTCTTACGGCTTTGGACCTTTTTTTTTTTTCTTTCCCTCCTATCCTCCGGCGTATACATCACCTTCGTGGAATAAATTATCACTGCGATGGGCTCGTCCACCTACTTATCCGTTTGTCGCTCCGACTCCTATTGTCCCCGGCAATTTACATTTGTAAGTTTTTCAAATGAATCAGGACAACAAAACAAAAGGTTAAACGCCCTCCACTATCCCTCCCCCAAAAAACAACCACCCACTATCTCGAGCAATTAGTAAGGAATGCCTGGAGCGTGTATGGTATGCTTTTTATCACTCGGGGAGAGGAAATAAATAAGCGGCTAAAATCTTGAATCTCGAATCGTCCCTTGCCCCCTCGCTGAGATAGTACTATACCGTGTCTTGTCCTCCGCGCGAGGAAGGACCTTCGAGGCCTCGCCGAATTTCGTTATCTCGGCCCTCCTTCGTACGCGTGCAGTGTACACCCAACGCGTATCGCACGGAATGTTGTGTTTTCCATTGTTTTCAATGAATACGTGTATATATACATGGCACTGTACACGATGACCACTCACTTTTACCACGGATGGACTTTTACATGTGCAGCTTCGGCTCTTCCTTTTACACTTGTATATAAGTGCACCAGGGAGTGTTGTATATTGGGATTTCAAAAGGTCACGTGACTCTCGCGATATATATAGTCACTTGGGGGAAAAATAACACAGGCCTTGTAGGTCCAATTATATTTTTATTTTTTTTACACGTTCAACGATTGTAATACTATAAAAGCCTTTCAATAACATATTTTTGAGGAGATGACAATACCTTGTCTATTTTTTTCCCACTCAATTAGTCTTTTGCAGCTTAAAACTTTTCTTTGAAAGTGCGAAAACGCACATTTAACCTGTACAAAGTTCTCCCGTTCCCGACTACATAATAGGAAAACAAACAGCATTTTGGTAAGGTTAAATGTGCGTTTTTGCACTTTCGAAGGAAAGTTTTAAGCTGCAAAAGACTAATTGAGTTGGAAAAAAATAGTTAAGGTATTGTCATCTTCTCAAAAATATGTGTTGATCGCGACGCTATGCTTATCTTTCCGTACTCCCTCCAAAATTGAGTAATCCGTTCTTTTTTTTTTTATTTTTCGTTCATCTCGGGTTGAATTAAGGAACACCGGGAGACCAAGAAAGCGTGAAGCCCAAAGCTGTGCGAGTTACGTAAAAGTCTCTCTCTCTCTCTTTTTCGCTTCGATCGAAACGCGCGTGTAATTACCCTCAATTGGATTATTATCGCCGTCATCGTCGTCATTACGCAATTAAAAAAAAAAAAAAAAGAAGAAAAAAAAAACTAAATTTCCCTCTTTGCAGTCGAAATCGCCGGCCGGTAAGTCAATTAGGTCGAAATACATGTACATAACGCAAGACTGTATAAGTTTCCTTGAAAAGGCGACACGTACATATATATATATATACATATAAGTGGACGGATTTAATGTAATGAAAAGGTCCGCCGGGGGAACAATGGGCGAGGAAAACAAAAGGTCCGCCCCGCGCTCCGCTCGAAAATGTGTATCATTTCCATGCAGGCGCGCACTTATACCTCGGGTCCTTTCTCCTGTCATTATATTATTATTGTATTGTACGCGGGTATCCTCTTTCTGTGTCGTCGGTAGGCGCGCGCGCGTACACGCAATAATTGACACTTTAATGACAGTTTCCATAAGTCGAGCGTCTCTCTCATTAGAGGGCCCTTTGCCGCTACCGACGCGACGTGTGGCTCGACGCGACGCTTATTAGCGATTGTACCTTTCAAAGGTGATGCGTGCACGCGGGCAAGAAAGAAAAGCCGAGGACGAAAGTCGAGAGTCATGCTCTTGGCGCTCCTTAATTATATCTGACGTAACGTTGCGTATGCCCCGAGTAAGTATACTTTTTCTCTCGAGATGAGGAGAAAACAATCAATATCGAGGGAGCCCTCCCCTCCATTCCCTTTTTTTTTTTTTTTTTTTTCTGTTGGAAGGGGCGACGACGCCGACAAATTAACGATGTGTCGGAGCGTCTGGAAATTGCCTGAGTGTCTTTTGTACAAGGGAGGGCGTTTTGGACTAGCACACTGAGTGCCAAAGTGGCTCTTGGGGGAAAATTAGGTGCTCTGGTTATTGTTTGACGTGACATCCGTACCATTATTCGTGGTAAACCAAAGATGATTCTCTGTTTGCGTATTGGCCAAGTGCCAAAAATTACTCTGAAATATTGAACTGAAATAGCAAGCAATTGACTGAGGTTTTTTTTTTTTAAACACACCTGATATTTTTTGAACCGATTTCAGCAATAAAAATCCGCGTAGCTACAATCCTCGGAAACAGTATAGGGCATAAAGTGCACGAATCACGCGCGAGGCTCCCAAAAACCCTCGGCTCTAATTACAAGTAGGCGTGTACGATTCGTCGCGGGTGTTGTATTTTTTTTTTTTTTTTTTTCGGTGCCCCACCATCGGACAAACAGCTCAGAAGTAAATACGTGCACGTATTGCCCGTCATGCGCCGAAGGGGCGATTGATTGCGGCCTCCTTTGCTCCCCCGCTCTGCTGTTGCACGTACATATATACACACATCGAACAAACGAGCAAAAGATAAAGAGAGAGGCACAGCAGTTGTACAGCGACGGAGCAGAATAAATGGTAAGGGGGGGGGGGGTGAATTTTTACAGCGTCATCTCGTGGCGCCTGCGATTCGCTCTCTCGCGCCTCCTCCGCTTCGATTTTCTGGCGTCGCGCGCGCTATCTCCGCCCCCTCCGCCTCCCACATCCTATACTCTGATGCTGCCGTATTACATACATGCAAGCAAACGTACGATGGCTTATACGTGCTGCACTCGTCGAGAGTGACGGGAAATTTCGTACTTGACGCCTCTCTGGCCGATCCCGTGTCTGAACATTTTTTATGCGAGCCGAAACCAAAAGGAATATAAGAAAGAAAAAAAAAACAGTTATTAGCCAGCCTCTACTGTTTCGACGGACCGGAACTAATCTGCTGTTTTTTCATTAGCGAAGCGTCGCTTTTCAGTTACGGCAACTAATGGGCTTTGGAGGAAAAAAATTTTTCGCTCCCAATTGAGTATCGCTATATCTACAAGGAGAATAAAAATGTGATAGCGAAAACACGAAAACAGTAGCAGCAGCGAGCAAACCATCCCTCGTCCTTCCACGGGAGGTGGAAGTGGTGGAACTGCAAAACACACGTAATTCCATTCAATTTCCCGCTCATTATCCAGCTCGGCAATTATCACCCTAAAAAAATTGAATCCACAAACAATCGACCGGACGATTGGCCTTACTCCGCAGAAAAATACCACGCAAACAAGCTAGCGCTCGATTCCCCACGTCATTAACTTTTTTAGGAGCCGAGGAGGCTGCTACTGCGCACCTATACTGTACACACCATCATCATCGGCGTCGATCGGTCTCTTTTGACTCTATACTCGACACCGCGCGATTAAACGGCTCGTCCATTCGATCCATGGTTCGCTGCGCAAGAGGTGGACCCACAACAACAAAAAAAGCAAAGGCGATAAAACGCTGCAACAATACTCGCGTTTAACCGCACAAACAAGGGCGGAGAGGCAAAAGGAGAGAACAAGCGAGGATGTGTATATATACATGTGGGGAGGTGTGGGTGTGCCCTTTGTTGGGGCCGCCACGATTTCCATTTACACGCATTCGACACGCGCGCCTCTGATGCGTATACGATTATACACGTATAGAAAGGGACGATGGAGCTATATATAGCTGGTGCATCACCACCACCACCACGACCGGTAGCAGCATCACAGCCGGGCTCTTGGCTTTTCCGGGGCTCCTCTCTGCTTGCAGCGAAGCGGTGATTCCTTTCTGTGCTTCGAAAGCTCGTTTCTTTTGTCAAGGCGCAATCGATCATCCACAAACTTTTACGCGCCCGTTTTGTCGTGGCTTTTCGTGTTTCGAATACCCACACGTATATAATGTCGTGTGTAGTCTTTTCTTTTTTCTTTTTTCTTTTTTACGACAACCAATAATAAGAAAGGCTGTTTGTACTCCACGCGCGCGTGTCTTTCATCTTTGCCGATATAGGTACACGAGGGATGAGCTAACGAGTTTGCAAGGACTTTTTTTTTCAACTCGGCGTTACACCCAATAACAATCATCGTCCCAATAATACGTGAATTAAACCACGGGTGCATGGGTGTAGGTATATAGGTATAGTACCCACCTTCGGTTCTGGTACCACGTTTTGACCTGGGTGTCGGTGAGCTGCAATTTCGCGGCCAGCTCCATCCTGTCCTGCACGCTGAGGTACTTTTGCCTCTCGAAGCTCTTTTCCAGGGTCTGCAGCTGGTGATCCGTGAAGGCCGTTCGGGCTTTTCTCTGCTTTTTACTTTGCGAGGAGCTCAGCGAGCTCGACGAGCCCTTTGGATCGTCGTCCTTGCCACCTGCGCATAAACAAAACAATCCAACATTCGTTACACGGGGTTTGATTTTTCATTCATCAATTGAGGTAATAATGATTAATGTGTACCACGAGTACCTTAAAAATATAGTATTTGTACATTCCCTGGTTAAAAAAAGAATCCGCTCTCACGTCACGCGCGGTATGAATAATTGACATTGGAAAATCTTGTTTGCCCCGAAAACGTGCCAAATACCCAACGCAGCTATGCTTTACCGCGACGACAAGGGCCAACGAGTGCACCGAGTTGCCGCAGAGTCGAAAAAATGCACGAGTCCTCCTGTCCCCCTTTGGACTTGGCGGGTCTCCCTTGAGACGCGAGCGAGCTCCGGAGACAAGAGAATATTCACTTTGCTCGATTCCCCAAGAGACTCGCACATGTATATATACACACATGCACTGGCGTGTCGTCAGCGTCGCATCGATCGGAACGTCCGGTCCACCCTCCGCAAGAGCAAACTATCCTCCCCTACCCCTCCGCGCGGTGTATATATATATACGATAAGGGAAGAGTCCGCGGATGGGAGGGAGCTAGTAGTATGCGCGCCTCTTAGAGCCCCCGTTTGATCGGCCAGATTCGCTCGAACGGCTCCTGCGCTCTGGGTATACACGTCCCATACACGCCGCGCCATCTTTTCCAACATGGCCGCTCCACCCCGACCCTCCAGAGTCCTCCGGTGGATTTCCGCGGGGAAGGGAAAACTAAATTTACTATGTGATACACTTAGAGAGGAGAGCTCCGGCGCTGCGGGGGGGGGGGGGAAGAAGTTCTCTCCTTTTTAGGGACACTTCCAAGACGTTAGCCGGAACTTTTTTTTCCCCCGTTGCGGCCCCACCCTTCCGCTCCACTACGTGTGTACATATATACGACTCGCTTCTTTTCCATTTTCCCGTCTTTATTTCCACTCTCTCTCTCTCTGTTATTTCATTTTTTTTTCCCCGCTCCGAAGCTCTATGTATAGGTACGCCGCGCTTTACTCGCGTTCGCTCGCGCCGCGCATCCGGCGAGGATAAAAAAAAAAAAGAGCCGCAGTATTTTCCTTCTCCTTCGAGTCGCGTCCTCGCTGCTTTGGATTTCTTTTCTCGAGCACTCGAGGAAAATATTGTTAAGACTACGACACGCACGAGGGAGGGCTTGATTCGCGCGGTGTGTTCCTCAACCCCCTGGCACGCACAGTTTTTTTTCTTCTCAAGAATCGCTTCTCGTGTCCAAACATTGTTACGCGAACCAACGAGTGGGGGGGATGCTAATTGCGGGGACATAATATATTATACTTGCCAAACCACCCACCCCCTCCTCTCTCTTTTCTCTGTACTTTGCGTGGTTTGTGACGCGTTGCGCGACATATGTGCGCTTGGAGACGGTTCCCGCGCACATTTTATGCTCCTCTCTGTCAGCAGAAGCTCGGATACGCGTACACTCTTGTTTTCTCGAACGAGTGTATACACACACACGCAGGTTATCCTCCTACTCTCGGTTGGCTCGTTAAAACAATATAATTTATACCCCATGTACAGCTACAGAAAATAACCATGGAATGCCGTTATCCTCGTCTCTGCTCTTAATTTATTCGCGACATAGGCGGTTTTTTCAAAGAACGAATGGTTTTATTTTTTTTTATTTTTTTTTTTTTTTTTTTTTTCATTTTTCGAAATGCAAAAAATCACTCGTTACAACAATGACACCGTGAACAATTGTCAAAGTTTATAAACGAAAAAAAACAAACAGAGACGAGCCTCTCGACCGCAAACAACGAGCGAAAGTTGACGCTCGTCGGCACATACGCTCTCATCTCTCTATATATACATACTCTGCTCCGGAGCGCTTCGCTCGCGGCGAGTTTTCATCATCACAGACCGGCATAATGTTCCGGCGCTCCTCTTCCTCTCTCGGCAATTAAGCTCCACTACCTATAAAAGTATATAGGTATGGCTGATGGTGGTGCACGCATACACATACATACGTATACAACACAAGGCACACACCTCCCTCCGGATGCATATGCGAGAGAGTAATTCGTGCGTTGCAGCCGCACTGTAACTGGCTCGTACAAGAGCTTATTTGCGTTTACGCGTACGTGCATTGTTGTAGGTACCAACTGCAAAAAAAAAAAAAAAAAAAAAAAAGAGGAGGGTGGAGTGTATGCGCGGGCGCATAAGAGGCGTGATTAACAGGATGTTTATCGAGCAATTATGCGCCCCACCTCCCGACCCCCCTCGTGCAATTAGTGTCGACGTTGCCGACGCCATCGAAGCAGGAGCCGCTGTGATGGCCTCTCTTTTAACTGGTGTATGTGTGCGCGCGTGTGTGTGTGTTTGTTTCGGTGCCCGTTGCACACGACATAATCGACGAGTTGGTGTTGTTTGAGGGTATAAATTTATATTTATGTTTTTTGTCGCACGTTTTGCAGCGCTTAGGTATACGACGTGTGTGTGATGAAAGTTGCGAGCTAATGTACGTGTGTACCGTTTGGCGCCATATATTCGTGTTTTATGTGCGTTTACATTTTGTTTTATTATCATAGCTTTATCATTAATTCATCAGTGTAAATTATGTTTATATTGGTCGTTCAATGAATTTTATTAATGACTTGTATTAATTTTTATGCTGCTGATCTACTAAACAGAGTCAAGCCATTCAAAAGGGTAAAAACAACTGTTTTCAAATTTAATTAGAATGCCTGTGATATTTATGGAGAATGTGAAACTTTTGTGTTATTTAATGTACCTCATGAATTCTAGCACTCGGTGTATGCATATAAAAAGCTCAGTTTTGTGGTTCATCGTTACCACGAGACTAAGATAACCCAAATTCGAGCTGACAATAATCCATTACGTATATAACAACGAAACTACACGATCTCATCACTTTTTATTGATTCGCGACAATAGTCCACGCAACATTAACATCGAGAGGGTAGGTATAACGATTACTCCATGGAGCACCATGCTAAAGCACAGGCTACAATAGTATTGGAACAATACAAGTGCAGAGCTATATACCTCGTAAACCCGAAAATATATACAAAAACTTTCGCAAAGCGATGCTCTCAGTTTTATTGTCACCCGCGGAGTCTGTGGATTGTATAGGTATATCACATCCACAGTCATATAGGCACGCGCGTGCGCGCGATATACATTATAAGCTCTCTCGACGCGATTTTTATTATTATTATTATTTTTTTTTTATTCCGTCTCGCGCATGTGTACAAGCACCCTCTCATCCTCCGTTGCTTCGCACCCCCTTTTATTCTCCACTGCTGTATGCTCTTCTTTCTTTCTTTCTTTTTTTTTTTTTCTTCCTCTCTCTCTTTGTCTCGCGAAGCAAAGTGTACGTGCTTGCAATGAAGATTGCGGTAGCTCCTACACCTACACGTATACAAGCTCGCCCCGGCAGAGGAGGAAAACAAGAAGAGAGGGCGTGTCCTCCGCTACCGCGCAGCTTCCCTTCCTCGTCGCTTAACTTTATTCGCCGCGCTAAATCGCTTTTGCTCTCTCTCTCTCTCCTCCTCCTTTCTCTCTCGTTTTTTTCGTTCGTCCATCGCGTACATATTTATATACTTCTCTCGTGTACAATCGGCACCCGAGCGCCAATTAGTCGTTTCATCATCGTGGCGAATACAGCTGCGCTAATTCCGCGGATGACGGATTTTTCCGTCCGAGGAGTTCAGCCAACCACGTGGGAGGCGGCGCTCGTATAATCGAGTCGCGAAAATTGAAATGACTAATTGCGGCGATTTGCAGGATAATCCTATTTATACGTATATTGTACATGGCCTTGGTTGATTTAGCGCTCGCCGATTACGTGCGTCATCGCGGTCGGCGCTCATTGCTGTCGTTTGAAACGATTATATATTTTTTCATGATCGATTTTGAGCTCTTTATGTATTAATTGCTGAAGGGAATAAATAACAAATCACGCCGATAAATGACTTATCTCGTCTCTTGCCCCGTACGATCGATTTCGAGGGTTGGACCACCCGCTCGAATGTAATTTATCACGTGCAGCGCGGGAGTCGGTGTATAGATACTGCACCTCGACACTTCAACCGCGGCCGCGATCTACGTTATATAAAAAAGGGCAAGTATAGTGATTTTATCCGCGTTTATCAAGTGGTTCTGTTGATGGGATAGCGTATACTTAGGTGCTCATCGCAATTAAAAAAAAAAAAAATAATAATAATAATAATAATAATAAACGTACCGGTGATGATACGTTTTTTCAAACGATTGCACATAGTCGTCTCGATTTTCCTATTAACATTAGCCCGTAAACACCAATTCAAACTTATTCACAAGTTTGATCACCCCCAATGATGACGATGCGTCCATTTGCAGTTGATTACCGTCAAATAACCATTGATTGTGTACGTGCTCTTAGAATCAATTTTCAACGTCTCGTTGGTACATTGGTATAAATAATAACATGTTTTCATCGACGATTGTTCTACAAATGATGAAAACATAATACACAAGCGCATCGCGAAAAACAATCCAAAGCTGTGCTCGTCGGAGCTGTACCTATATAATATACTTTACGGGGAGTAATATAAAAAAAAAAATGCTTATACCTCTTCGGAATCAGGACGAGAAATCCTCGTGCGGTACGTGCAGGTGGGAAGATTGACCCATGCACGCGCTCGCGAGGAAATATCACGAAAAAACGAAGAAAAATCGATCGTACGTATATACATATGTATACCAGCTGTCGTATTGAATCAAGTGAGGTATACATATATGTTCACTCGAGCGCGGATCAAACGTGGGATGTGTGTGTCTCTCGCAAGTGAGAGCTTCTCGAATTTCGCGCGCGGTGTAGAATAATGTACATCCCGTATGCCTCAACGTGTAGGTATGTATATATATCTGCGTTGTTTTTCGCAACACATCGTGTATATATAGCACCAGAAATTAATGTACAGCACTGCGTACCTATCTTGCATAAAACGTAAACTAGCGAGATTATTGTCTTGTCGTCGAGGA